TAATATTCAAAAAGAAAATTGGGAGTGGGGATTTTACCTCGAAATGGAAGAGGCTTCTTCCTCGATTGGGATGTAAATAATTGGAGTTGCCTCTTTTTTTCATAGACAATATGGCATTGTGTGTGAGTCTCACTATTGCTCCTGGCATTTGGCTTGAAGTGTGTCATTAAATTCGAGAAATTCTTTTTTGAGCTTTGAGTTGACGCAATACAACTACTTGATTCAAAATCTGGTAGACAAAAATTTATATAAGGTAGAAGTCCTAATCAATCAAATTAAGGCACACCTAAAAAATTCACTAGAAAAGGTTGTTGCAGTATTTAAAAATCCTTAAATCGATCATGTCGACCTCAAGATGTATGGACATGAGAAAAAATAGATTTTAAGTACTGGAAATAGTATATTTTATAATGCATTTTCTGGAATATCAATTTTCAAGTGTTCATAGATCTATTCATTCTACATTATTTTTGAAGCTTTAAATTTTATAACTTGAGATAAAAATAAATTTTCAGGCGGTCACAAAGATTTTCAGCTCTAAAAAATATTTTGACACTAGTTGAAGGTGCGCATCACCTTAATTGTTTAGGGCCGAAGCCTTGTACAAACCAAACCCAAAAGTAAATACTTTACATATATATACTTTTGTGAGAACCTTTCTGAAACGGCCTAAGGACCCAAACAAGACGTAGACATATTATTAATCCATGATTTAAAAGAATTAACTTTCGCTTGAAAAATTGGCTTGTCCGAGGGTTAAAAGATTAAATCTTTAAAATTTAACCTTTTCTAAAATGGAAAATGGTTTCATGGGCTGTAGCTTTGTCAAAATAAGTAGAACCTCCCCTCATAAAAAATTGTAATTTAAGCATTCGAAAGCCTTTACATCGATCATCTAGGCTTGAAAATTATGATTGTGAAAAAAATTTTGATTTCAAATTCTAAAAAATAGTGTATATTGCAATGGTTTAAAAAACGGATCGGTGACCTGTAACGAGCACTAGAAAAACCGATCCGGATCGGCGAATCGGCGATCCGAATCGGGAATCGGGTAAATCGGTCAGAATAAAGCTTCAAAAAAATCCGAAAAAATTATTAAAATTTATTATAAATATTTTTTTTTAGGAATTCAATAAGAAATGTGGGTACTCCATTAAGAATTTTCATGTTTTTGAATGAATATGTGAATATTGATATGTTCTTTCCCTGCATGAACCGCCATTCAGCATTTAATTTACATCACACAAAAGGATAAACATAGAATTATCATGGAATAAGTATATCAACATACATGGACTACAATAAAGCATAAAATTAGTAACATGCGATCTAAAAATAAAATAATAGACGACGTTGTTGTTCTTTTTTGTCACGCTGGTGCCATTGATTGAATTCGTTTGACAATTCATTGATTCGATCTAAAACAGAATCATCGATATTAGCAGGCGTCTGACTATTCCCAAATCCTCGAGTGTTAGTGTTTTGTTGTGTTCCCAATCCAAAATCTTCGAAGCTTGTCCATCCTTCATGCTCACCTGCACTGTCGTGCTCATCCCTACATTGTTGCTGTTGGGACTCGATATGTGAATAATATGGCTAGGATAGGGTGGCCTCAGAATCATCATCTCTCTCATTTTCTCTTAGACCCCCTTCCCACTCTCATTAGGTGTAATATCACCGACATCTACGACGAATTGTGGATCCGTTGGCTGGCTGCTTCCTCTTTCATGCTGCTCATCACTTTCTTCAATATCTTCATCGCCGATAGCCTCAAGGAACGCTCTCTTGTGCAACAGTAGCTTCTCCTCTTCTACTACCCATTGGTCTGCTGTGTCTGTGACAAATATTGTATCTAAGTCTATCGGCCCATAGTCTTCAAGCTTCCTTCTTATTTGTCGCTATCTGAGGTTTAAATTATAATGAACGTAGACTAGTTTATGAAGCTTCTCAGAAGCGAGTCGATTCCTCTTAGTAGTGTGCAACCATTGGAACGTACTTCAGTTGCACTCACAGCCAGTAGCAGAACATGTCTGGGAGAGCACCTTGATTGCTATCCTATTTAGGTGAAGTGCATCAGTACCATATATCTCCCACCATTC